CGGTTTGGGTGTTCTGCACCTCTCTCCTTTCCCCTCCTTTCCTTCTTTTCTGATTCATTCCTCACTTCTTTCTCTCCTCCTCATTGGCCGCCCATTTCCCCTCTTTCTCTCCTAATTGGGCGAACCGTCCACCCCCATCTCTTTTTTCCTTCTTCCTCTCATCCGCCCCTCACCCTCATTTCTAATATTAAAATAATAATATAATAATTATGAGAAATATATAAAATAATAAATAGTAATCTTTACAAAAGTACTTTTCAGATTTGTAGTTCCGTAAAATTTTAATTGTAACTCCAAATTTGCTTCCTCTTGTGCCTACACGTCTGTATCGTCGCGTACTTCAAGAATACAATAAAATAATAACCCATACGCTTCACGAAATGACGGTTAACTGAAGTCAACGATCTCGCCTCTAAGGGCATTTTCGTCAATTTACTCATTTACAATTTATAAAAACATAAAATTAGGGCCGGGTTATCACATACGAGGTACAACTATAAATTCCTATTTATTTGTTGCTAAATCGACCATAGACCAATTCCCTTTTTACTTGGGAGTACTAAATACGCCCATAATTTTGAGTTTCATGTTACTCCTACCAAGAGACATGTCATATCACTCAATTCTATTTTGAGATGGGTAATGCTAGAGAGACTAAATTTGTAGAGTAAATTTTGTAAACTAAATGACATGAAAGTTGATGATTGAATTATTACTTAAGTGTTGATTAACGGGCTTATTACTTATTGGCGACTCGTCATTTAGTTTGCAAATTTAGTTTACAAATTTAATTTTTCTAGCATTACCTTTTGAGATTAATACACATCGACATCGACCCTTCCTATGTTCTTTGTGGCAGCCTCATGGAAACAACTTCCCATTTCATGAACGACTGCTACTTTGCTCGATGCCTTCACCATGCATATCTTCCTAGTCCTCGTGCTCTCCCATCATGGATTAAGTGACCATCGCCCGTAGATTCTTGCCTAATGCAGACTTTGATTGCTTCCTGGCACTGGCGGAGGCACGTAAGGACTACAATAGTCCTAGGCCTACCCTAACTTTAAAAAATAAGATTAGTATTACACATATTTTTATTGCTTTTCAACCCTCCTCAACAACTAAAAGAAATTCAATCATTATCTATTTTTCATCCAATAGATCCTATAAAAAAATTAAGTATATATTTTAAATGGTCATTTATCATAGATGGTGGTGCTATCCATATACCATTTTTTTACTTTCTTGTTTGGACCTGATTTTACACTATCGGCTCGAGTAATCGACGTCCGTCGAATGACAAGGTAGTTGAAATGATTCTCAATTATTATTGAGAAATAACGTTGTGATTTTAATCATGATATTATCTCTTAATAATATATTAAATTGTTTAAACCTGATATTTGTCTATATCCCAATTGATTTGAACGCATGGAATATTGGGATATGCGGCAACAGATAAATATGGTGCCAAATGGTATATGCTTTTGGATGTGGCCACGTGAATGTGCTTGTTGGGATTTTATCCCATGTAACTTTGCATGCATAAGCACCACCTGGATCAACATGGTGGAAATATAGAAGGAAAACATTGATGTGAGGGCACGGTTTCCTAACTGAACTAGGAGATAGTCTGAGGGCATGGTTTCTTTTGAGGCATGCAAAGGATAAGGAAGAAAAAAAACAAATGTTTTTTTGAATAATTGTGACATAGAGTCAGATGATGATGACAGCTAAAGGATAGGCTCTTTCCTATCTTGAGAAGTCTTTGACTGAAGTATTGGCTGACGAGTTTGAATTGAAATCAAATTCTACAAGTCTAGACCGTGCCGAGTGAAGCACAACTACTATAAATATAGAGGCAATGGTAACGGAAAAAGCCCCTTCCAATTCAACACACAAACTGTCTTGCGCAAACCCTCGCTCTACGCGAAACCTCTCAACAACCTTGAGATTTTTGTTTTCCTTTTTCGCCAACACATCTTTAGTTTGGATAAACAGCACTGTGAAGGCAACCGGCGAACATCTTCAGTTTGGATAAACAACACTGTTGCCGTAGAATTAGCCGACTGTGAAGCACCTTCAGTTTGGATAAACAGCATTGCGATAGGGCCGACTGGTTATCTATCCAAGTCTCGGTCAAGAAGGATTTTCGAATCCTTATTGGCAAATGTTATCTCATTAGCCTTCTCGGTGAAGTGAGGTGTTACAAGTTACTAAATTCGGCACATTTAAAGCCGAATTTGATATTGAATTTCGCAGAACTAGCAGCTTTGTCTTCAGGCTCTAGAACTCGAATGCCGAGATGTGTTCCTTCCTCAGCCGTAGTCGCAGGATCAAGAAGTCAGCAACGCACCCAATGCAACATCAACAAATTTTACTCCTCAGCCGAGCTTGGCACACCCCGCATATATTTTAAATGGTCATTTATCATAGATGGTGGTGCTATCCATATACCATTTTTTTACTTTCCACACACCTTCTGTTAATTTATGTTATATGATTTTCTTTAATTCATTCGATTCGAATGCAAAAAAATTGAGAGGATTGTGCCGAAGGTAAAAAGAAGTGCGTGGATAACATCACCCTATCACAAATTAATAACATTTAAATTAAAACCCATCATTTGCTTTTAATTACAAAAATCATATTTCACTTATGAAGGGGCAAAGTTATATTCCCTATTTTTATTGAATTTCATATATTTAGCCAATCCAAAGCTCAAGTTTATTGAATAAAGAACAAAAAGGTTTGTAATACTCTATTATTCAATACAAAACATTTGTTTCTATTCTATCCCATCTCTTACTCGAGTTTTAGGGTTTGCAAATTTTTATGTAACTCTCTTTATTGAGTTTAATAATTCTTTCAATAGTATAGATGACATCATGCAACGGTTTCAAAATATAAAATTCATCGAGGATACTTATGATTACTATGAATAGATAAAATTATCTATGCATATGTTAAATTTGAGTACTTAATTATTTGGATATATATTATGATGTTTTGCATTAGTAATTTTATAACCACTATTCGTTTTTTCTTCTTCTATACTTGTGTGAGGCTTATCCTCACAAGAAATCCTGGCTCTGCCATTGCTGGTTCTCATCTGGGCTATTTGAGGAGCTAGAAACTGATTCTCCCAACCTAGTCGCTGCCAGAGCCATTAATTGGTGGCAGGAATTTGTTAAAAACTTCTCCCACTTGGCGACTCCTTCCTATGCTGGCACTTACCAATGTTTGTCTAAACCAGTACGATCCCTTAAGCTTAACATTGACTATGCGTGGCATGAGGATATCAAGCTAGGAGTTGTTGTAGCTGTCTTTCGTAATTTAGATGGCATGTTCGTTTATGCAACGTCAGGTTTCTTTGACGATATGTTCTCGCCTCTTCAGGCGGAAGTCTTGGCGGCTAAAGAAGGTATTACCTTCGCGGCTGCGAGGGGTTATCAAAACTTTATCCTTGAGAGCGATTCGCTCCAGATTGTCTCTGCCTTGCGAGATCGATCTATCAACCTCTTGTCCATTGTTAGGACTTGAAGGCAATGCTAGACCAGATCATTGGAGTCTCAGTTACCCATGTCCGCTGCCATGGGCAAAGCTTCATGGGAACAAGAAGGGGCGGCCACCCCTTCGGTCTTCGGAAATCACCATTGAAAGTGAAGATTTCGCCCCTTTGGTCCTCTAAACTGCCGTCGAAGTCTGTTGCCCTACTTCGTTGTTTATGTGTTTTATGCTCCTGTACTTCTTTGGTTTTTTATTTTATTTTTAAATACCCAGGCCAAAACGACGTTGTTTTAGTTCTAGGATAAAAAAAAAAAACATAGAACGGTGTTGTTAAGGAGGGATACAGTAAGATTGTCATTATTCAAGAGTTTGTTAAGTTGTTTGATAGTATGAAGGAATTGGGTGTGTGGAGAAGTTTCAAACCCTATGAGGCTCTATTTAAGGCCATTATGCGCCACAATTGGTATAATTGCCAAGAGGTATTTTAATGCAACGTTGAGTGAGGGAATAAAACCTAGTAGGCATACTTATAAATTATATGAATCACAAGGTCATGCCTACAAGGAGCTACTGTAGAGAGAATCGATAAAAAGATACATTGCATCTCTTCCATAACATGATATCTGACTATCTGAGTCAAAAGATAATGATGAAAAGCCTGATAATTTCACCATTCCCACTGCTCTGAAGGTGTGTGTGGGGTTAAAACACTCACATATGAGAAAATAATACAAGGGTTTGTGAAGAAACATGACAAGGTTGAAATGAATATGTTTGTGGGTTATGCGTTGATCTAATTGTATTCCAAATGCGGAGAAATGGGCGAGATTGTGAAAGTTTTTGATGAATTTTCGAATCCGAATGTGGTTTTATAGAGCGCGACAAAAAGAAGGTAGAAGTTTCTACCCTTTTATAGCCCGACAATTCATGGCCTTGCCACCGGCCACCAAAGGAAACGAAGTGCACACCGACTTGCTCGAGCTGCCCTCACATCAGGTGCTCTCCATAATTGTAACTGGTTTGTGGAATTACCATATGTTGTTACTTGATCTCTTGTTTGACGGATCATTTTGTAACCAGTCTTGTGACTTTCTGGCTTTAATAAAATCTCTGCCTCTTGTTTTCAAATCCATTTGACTATCTTCTTATGTTAAAAGGGTAATGTTAGTGAGATCATATTTTTAAACTAAATTTGTAAAACAAATGATGTATCATCAATAAAAAAAAATGACATTAATTGATACTTAGTTAATAATCGAATCATTTACAACCATATTATTTGGTTTAAAAATTTGATACCCTTTAGCATTTCTCATAGAAGTAATACGCGTTAATCATAGCAAAAGGTCGGTATATAGATTGACCGAGTCAGAGTTTATTGCCGGGTTGACTAAAGTTTGAACTGAGCACGACCAAACCCATCTCAATGGAGAGCTGGCCTTAATTAATTCATTCAAAAATTTGCTAATAAAATAAAAAACTTCCAACCCTGAACGGAAAAATCATTGTTTTATTAATAATGAAAACTATCAATCAAAAGGATGAACATAATTTCGATAATACATGAATAAATACGAGGTATTAAGTACACTTAATTAAAGCTATAGAAGAAGATGGCCATCGCAGTGGAGAGGATTAGGGCACCAATATTAACGGTGAGAGAAGAAGAGGCGTTGTGGTCCCACCAGCGATCATCATCTTCAGAAATCTTGATAGTCACCTTCTGCCCTAAATCACTGCAGTGATTACCTACGGTGCAGATGAAGTAACGGGTCACGTTGGAAGTCAGTGTAATACTTGCAGGGCTGGAATCATAAAAAGCAAGATGGTTCGAATTTGAGCAGTTATCGTAATCAGCCTTCGATACTTCAGCTACTGTGTGTGATCCACTCCACTTGAATACTGCAAAAAGATATAAATAAATAAACAGATGTTCATCAATCAAAAGGAGAAATTTACTTTGCAGAAAGTCATTTTAAAGGGTCGATCTAGGTTCTACGTTGAAGAAATAGAGATTAATTTTCTCGATGCGTTGTCTGGAAAAACATGACGTCTTGCACAGAGCTGAACTGAATAAGAAAGAACTAACACTAACGAAGATTTAGAGGACGAAATTTTAATTACCTATTGTATCATTATTCTGAAATCTTTTTGTGTTAGCCCAGGTGGTGTAGGCAATAGAGCCGGCTGGAGGAATAGTCCATTCCAAATCGTCTCCGACTGTGTAAGTATCAGCTGTGGCACCGTTGAACAAGGCCACTGCAACAAGAAGAAAGCACCCAACCAATCCCATACGACTCACCATTTCTCTGCTGTGTGTTCTTCTTTACGTCGTCCCTGGCTAAAACCCCTAATCTCTTCTTTTTCTCTTTGGAAATTATGTTTTTTGGTGGATGATGAATCAATCATTTTAACGTCTACTACTTATACAAAAGGGAAGGATGACCAAAGGCTATAGAATTGATTGTGTTTAACTTATCGAAGGCGAGTTTCCTTGCTTTCAAATAAGGCGACTGAAGACCAAAAGCTATATTGTGTTTAACAATCTTTTTTGAAAATGGACTACGATATTCATTAATAACGGAGGAATACATACAAACAAAGGAAATGATGCATATAAAGGGCTTTGATAAAAACCTTGCCAGAGATTTCAATTCAGTCTGAGGAAAAAAGAGCATATCGCACCAACATACTAATTAGAATTACCATCCTCAAACAAAATATCTAAGATAATATCTTGTGGTTCCTCAAACCACACAACGAGATTGGTTACATTCAAGCTAAATCTTGCCAAACCATGTGCGACCTTATTAGTCTCGTGCTTGCTAAAGGAGACCATCCCTCGGGGAAAATTCATCATCAGACTTCGGGCATCATCCAACACATGACCAAATTGACCAACATCTGTTGGACATTCTAAAAATAGTTGACGTGTTCTTTCTGGAAACAAAAGACCAAAAATATCTGTTGTGGAATATTGTACAATTTAGGAAAAGTCACCAATTTTGGGTTTATACGAAATAGGAGAATTTTTTTCTATGTAAGAATATTACGCGGCACACTAAGTATTATAATACAAGTGATTGGATATTTTAATATAAAAAAATTCAACCATAAATATTTTGACAGTTTGGTTAACCAGACATTATTTACGATGCACTAAAAAATCCCTCATGAAATACAATCTTTTTGCTTTTTTATTTTTTGGTTTTCTGAGTGCAATTGAACAAAGCAACTATATAAGTTGTTCATCGTTATCTTGTTTTTCTACATTTAGTAATTAGAATACATAGTAAACTCCATACGTTTCTACTTTCTAGTATATCGCCAAGAGACTAAATTGTAATGAGGCCAAATGGAAAGGTATGGGCAGGCATCATGGCCCAAGTCATATACTTTGACTTGATGAGGTGCGTTTGTTTTGTTGCGACACATTGTTATATTGCTTGGTCCAAGATGGATGTTAAAATGAGAACGCATAATATGACGAACGAAGAGTGACAAGCAAAAGCGATCAAAAGGTAACCAAGAACATATAGAAGTTTGTAAACCGCCAGAAGGATCGGATTAACCTCAAATTTTGTTTGATTGATGATATGAAGATAACAACCGTATTAGCAAAGCTAAAGTTGCTTTTATAGCAATTTTCCATTGTGTTTTGGTATGGGAAGAAAGTATGATACATTTTTTGAAGTGTCAATAACAGTTAGTCATGTAAATCTGAACAATTTTAGTACAGACCGTTATTTTTATGTATGGATTAATGAGTATTTTTCAATGCTTTACGAGCTACAAACTAGATGTGAGCGATTAAAGAAGTAGAAAAGATTGATCAACGATTAAACAAGACTTGGTAGAAATGCTAAAAACGAAGTTTTATGGTCATTTAAAATTCCATTTAATTTTGATATTTGTTTTGTAGCTCTCTAGTCCATCTTGGGTTACAAGGACACGAAACCAAGTTGGTGTTTCTGCTTTTTGCCACCGTCTTTTCATATTTGTTAGACGTCTCTTTCTATTGATTTAATAATGCATGAACTGGATTTGTTCTCACTTTTGACAACCAAGTCTGAAAGTAGGAAATATCTTACAAGATAAGGGGCACTTGGCACCGTCTCAAACCCTAATATGTCAATTTTTTATCTTATGGCAAACCAAACAAATTAAGTCGTTGAAAGAGTCGGTAGAAAATTTAAGTTTGAAGAATAAGATTGTAATATAACTGAGTTTTTAGTTCAATTTGTTAGAAATATTCACCTCTGCATCCGAGATTTTGTTTTCAACACTTTATATATATAAATATATTTCTTGTTAAAAGAAACAAACAACCTATTTTATTGTATTCAATCTCTCGAATTTAAATCTTATAGACAAAAATTGTTAAAAAAACTCAACATTAAGTGAATTTATGTTTTAAAAAGCGAAGGGCATGGGCGAAGCGTTTCATGAATACTAGTTCGGTATGGGATACCGAACCGAAACCCTTATCCTAATTCCCAAACTAAAGTTTTCGGGAATTCCAATTTTAAGACCGATCTCAAACCAAATTTTCGGAAATCCCAAATTTCGGGAATCTCAAAATAATTTCTGGATTTCGGGACAAATCGGGAATCCCAAAATAATTTGGGCTTTTGGAAGAAACAAGTAGATGACTCATATACCTTTCTGTTCCAGGTTTAGTAGCCATAGAATTGTAAATCAAATGGTAGGCCTATTAAACATGCATGCTGGAGGACATTGCCATCTCACATTCTGGGCTTACGAAACATTACCTGTTTTCGACCATGGAGCAAATTCTGCAGCTACCAATATGATATTCATGACATTATGCCCAGCCAAAGGAGAGGGCTTTACGTCCTTACTCATAAAACCAGTTGCCCCATCATTGACGACTCAGGGTTAGTAGGAAAAGATGGCTAACCATCAGACCACTCTGTCTTGGAACTATCCTTACTCACATGCTTACTGGACTCTAGTTCACTGGGAGACTTATTAAACGGCAAGGCATCTCCATGATCCTTTTCTATTTCATTAAGCCCTCCATTAAGAGCAGAAGGCATAGTCTCAAAATCCCTTTCTTCAGTTGAATGCTCATAGCTGCTCGAAACAATGCTGCCAATTTGGTCAACACTATTATCAGCACTACTTGAAGAACTTTCCACATTTTTCCACATTCGAAAATGATTATTCCCTTGTTCAAAAGAAACTTCCTCTTCTTCTTGGCTTATACACTACTTTGTATAGAAGATACCAATTTCCTATTTCCTTCTTTCAGCAATCTGCAAAACCCAAATTTGCTAATTCTACGCTTTCGACTCTCCTTAATTACTAAAAACACAAAAGATGGTGAATGTCCATTCTTCTGTCAAAGTATGCTTAAGAAAGTACAGTAATACGACACATAACACAATAAATGCCTAATAAGAAATAGCTTGATATCTAGTGAAAAATGACATGCCTTGATTCATAAATTTTACTTCATCTAATAGGATACAGCTTACTCATGGGCATGAACATCTCACTGACATGACTCACAAAAATCCCAAGAGCTCGGAGAGCTTATTTTAGGACGACACATGCATCATATTATTGAAACATTGTATTCATCCAAGGGAATGTTTCCCACACGTTTCAAGCAGTGGCCTTCATTAAAAGAGATTACACGGCAGTACCTGAATTTTACATCTTAAAACTAATCCTGTGTCCAAGATATAGGCACAATCCTAACATACTGCATAATTCTTTACCAATATTGATGCCAATACTTCCACCAAAAACTGCATAACACCTATCCATGTATTAAAGCAAATGGAGTTATATATTATATGCCCCTAAACATATAAACTAACAACTATGACACCATCCAACTAAAAATCACTACCTCGACTGCAGAAACTTAACAAGAACCCCCCAGAGAAACGTTGCAAGGGAAGTAAGGATAAGACATCTACTTGTTTCTTGTTAGGAATGGGTAGAGAGAAAAACCAGTCTCGCCATATTATAAAATGGAAAGAAAGAGAAATAAAAAAGGATAAACCTGCAAATTCTTGATAATTATGGTCACAGCTGCTTCAGATGCTCGCTTACAATCCTGGAATGAGGAGTCTCCATATGCCTAATTGTGGAGAGCCCAACCACAAAGAAACAAGGCACAATGTAAATAAAACTCCATATCCGTTCCAAGTGCTAAATTTCACAAACCCTAATCTAGAATTCGAACCCTAAACTAAATTTCAAACCCTAAATTAATTCCAAAATTTACCTGATTTGAGAGAGAGCTCAGAGAGGTGAGTCACTTGTGATGTGGGTGTGGCCGGAATCGAAGAAGGAAAGAGAAATCGGCGAGGAGGGTGGTGACGGTGAGGTTGTCTGAGGTGAGGTGAGATCGAGCCGAGACTCGAGAGACAGAGAGAGACAGGGACTGAGTTCTCCGAGGGTTTGAACTTTGATTTGTATTCAACGGTTAAGATTAAATCTCAACCAAATCTGACGGACGTTACAATGCCAAATATATATTTAAAATTAAATAATAATGTGTGTATATATATATGTTGTAAACATTCCTAGAATAAGTATGATTGTATAAATCCTAGATTAGATTTGATTCTAGTTATCCTTTCCTATTACAACTTGTATTACTTGGAGGAGAAGGAATATCTTATCTCCCTTTACTACTATAAATAAAGGCACAATGTAGGAGGGATAACAACACACACATTCCCCTACAATTCTACAAACACACATCTCTCTCCTCTCTCCCACTGCTGCCGGCACTCTCTATTTTGTCAGATAAAAATAGACCACAACACGTTATCAGCACGCTCCTACCGCTGCGCTTAGGAATCTGACGTTGGAGATTTTTTTTCTGCATTAAACCAGTTCATCCATATCATCACGCAATCAGGTTCTTTCCAAACAACGGATTTTAACTTGATATTTTGCAAGCCCTGATAGCATGAACATTCACCATGATGCATGACCCAACTTTACGTTTAACGTATTTTAGATTCTACATAAATTGTGTATGCTTCATCACCAAAATTGCTACAATTATGTGAATTTGATATTTGCCATGAATTGAATCTTACATATGTACATGCATTGAAACTATTATTTGCATATGCATCAACGTAAATATGTGATTCATTAGAATTATACATGCATATAATATAATTGAATTAAAAAATAAAAAAAATTTTGCGATTGGGGAATTAGGGTTCTTTGAACCCGTGCCTTTGCATCACGCAAGGCTACAACGCAACCAGGCCCGCAGCTTGCGATGGCTAGCCCATCTTCTTGCAAGGCTTGCAGCCTGCATCCCCATGCTTTCCCGAGCCGAGAGCCGGACGCCCATCGCGTCCCCAACAAACCAACCCCGACACTTTTCATGGTGTCCATTGGCCACGGCATGGCCTGCAGCCATTGCTTTGAACCTCTGGTTCACGTCGCCGACGACTAGAAGTCGTCCCACATTTCAAATTGAACTGAGATTCACCGGAATCTCGTCGGATTTTTTTAATTCATTTCAATTTTTTTAGGGTTTTCTAGTTGTTGATACGTTGAGATTTCCTTATCTCCGTGGTTGTCCACGACAACCGTGACTCACTCTGAGCTCCAACAACCTCGACACGACCACCTGTAGTGGCTCCGTCCACATTTTTCCGGTTTTCTTCCCTTGCCAAGCACACCCAGCACGGCTGGGATTTTTTTTAGACCTTTCCCCGAGCCCTATCCGGGCTCTGTCTCTCAGCCCCATATGGAAAAAACAAATTTTTGCTGGGCTCGCTTGCAGCAGCCCAGCCCGCAAAGACAAATTTTTTGGTTTGTTTGTTTATTTTTTGGGCCAACCTGAAGTGGCCCGCGCGCGGAAAGGAATTTTTTTTTGGGGGGTCTGCCTGCAGCAGCCCATTCCCTTCTCACCCCGTGGGTCTACAGCCTACACCCGGGGATTATCGGCCTATATTTTTAAGCCCCGCGATTTTATTATTTACTATTTTTAAATAATATGGGTTTTTATATTTTCACCCACACTTTAATTTTGCCCCGAAGACCAAATAAATTAATTCAATTATAATTATACAATATTTTTTGCATATACTTGTTGCATATTTGTTTGCATATATATTTGTGTTTGCCTGTAGGAATATATGAACCTGAAGTTCATAATTACTTTGAAACCTGAAGTTTCTTATAAACATGCCTTGTTTGAAAACCTGAAGTTTTCTCTTAAACATATCACCCATGAAAACCCGAAGTTTTTCATGCAAAATTAAACCAATACATGTCTATTAGAACCTGTATGTTCTACTCCTATGTGAATGGATTGATTTTTCTCCATTACACTAACCACATCTTGTCCATCTATTTGTGATCGGAACATGTCGAATTTGAACAAACTCGACTTCACCGCTTTGGAGGTCTCTGGAAGGAACTACCTCAAGTGGGTTCAAGATGTGAAGCTCCACCTCACTGCCAAAAACTTGCGTCCTGCTATTGAAGAAGCAACAACTGAACCTGTTGGCGAAGCTAAAAAAGCCACTGTTATGATCTTCATCCGAAGACATATTCATGACGCTCTGCAAACTGAGTACCTTGATGAGGAGGATCCACGTGCATTATGGGTCGCTTTGGCTGATCGTTTCGATCACCAAAAGGACATATTCTTGCCTGAAGCAAGACACGACTGGCAGTACTTGCGCTTCCAAGACTTTAAGTCTGTGAATGAATATAATTCTGAAGTTTGTCGAATCCGATCACTTCTCAAGTTTTGCAATGAAACTTTGACTGAAGAGGATCTCCTAGAGAAGACCTACTCGACCTTCTCTGCTTCTAATATTGTCCTGCAGCAACAATATAGAGCTCAGAAGTTCACTAAGTTCTCGGATTTGATCTCTGTTTTACTTCTTGCTGAAAAGCAGAACCAGCTGTTTATGAAGAATCATCAAGCTCGACCTACTGGGGCTACTGTTGTGCCTGAAGCACATTATAGCACTAATCAGCACCCAAAACACCAAAAGAGGCGTGGTAAGGGCGGCCAGAAGCCATCCCACCAAGGTCAACATAGTCAAGGCTTATCCAAGGGAGGATACAAAGCCCAGAAGCGTCCAAACCTCGCTCCCAAGGCCCCGAACTTCAAGAATAAGGGCAAAGCACTTGCCATAATGAATGACGATATGCGCTATCGTTGTGGTTCAAAGGACCATTGGTCCCGTATTTGCCGTGCTCCCAAGAAGGTTGTAGATGAATATCATTCTCGTCGTAAGAAGTTTGAATCAAACTTCATGCAAGTGGACGAACCGGAGACTACAAAGATTGAGGTTTCTGACTTTCAGGAGGATACCACTCTTATGGAAGATTAGAATCTTAGACATAGACTTCTTTTTTAGTTGAAATAAGACAATTGGGGCCGAATTCCACCTAGTGGCCGCACCCCACCTTGTTTTTGGTTGATTTTGAACAATTTTCCTTTATGTTTTTGGATTATTAGTTGGCGATTTATTTTGGATATTCAATTTTAATCCTTGAATAAATGAAATTATTTTGAATTGATACTTGTTTTTATAAACTTTTATGCATGTGACCAATTCAAATTAATTTTTCATTCTAGGTATGACTAGTGGGAAAGTTAGTTGTCTGGCAGATAGTGCAACCACGCATACTGTTTTGCGTGAACGCATCTATTTCACTAACTTCGTACCTAAGAATGCACCTCTGACAACCCTCTCAGGCCCATCCAACCTGATAGAAGGATACGGTAAGGCACATATAATGTTGTCCAATGGTACAATCTTGACCATTGCTGAGGCACTCTATTCTCCACGTTCCGGAAGAACGTTACTAAGTTTCAAGGACATTAGAGATAACAATTACCACGCTGAAACCTACGTAGAAAAAGAAGTTGAATTTTTGTGCGTAACTTCCTACGAATATGACCAGAAGCGTATTCTAGAGAAGATTGAGCGTAACCCGAATGGTCTGTATACTACGACCATACGCCCCATCGAATACCACTATGTGGCCGGCCCTACCACAGGGACCGTGCATGAAATTACACTTTGGCATGATCGTTTGGGACATCCTGGACGAATAGCGATGCGCCGTATCCTCAAAACTTCACACCGGCATCCACTAACCCAAAGCTTAGGTTCGATCCATGAAATCGCATGTCAAACATGTTCTATGGGAAAACTTATTACTAAGCCTTCTTATGACAATATTCGTTCGAATCCTCCCATTTTTCTACAACAGATTCAGGGGGACATTTGTGGACCGATTCAACCTCCCTGCGGACCATTTAGATATTTTATGGTTTTGGTTGACGCTTCTACACGTTGGTCACACGTGTGCTTATTGTCCACAAGGAACGCTGCATTCTCCAAACTGTTGGCTCAGGTTATCAAGCTTAGGGCTCACCACTCTGATTATCCGATCAAATCTATTCGATTGGATAATGCTGGAGAATTCACATCTAAAACTTTTGATGACTATTGCATGTCGGTTGGGGTTGAAGTTGAACATCTTGTACCCCATGTTCACACCCAGAACGGCCTGGCAGAGGCTTTCATTAAGCGTTTACAAATGATTGCTCGATCATTGGTCATACGTACCAAGCTCCCGATCGCTGCTTGGGGCCATGCAATATTGCACGCAGCAAAGTTGGTCCGCCTGAGACATGTTGCGACACAACCATTTAGTGCCCTTCAGTTGGTCACCGGATGAGAACCCGACATATCGCATCTGCGCGTTTTTGGTTGTGCGGTCTATGTGCCGATTTCGCCGCCCTTACGTACAAAAATGGGGCCTCAACGAAGGATGGGAATCTATGTCAGATATGATTCTCCTTCGATTATTCTTTACTTAGAACCTTTGAAAGACGATCTGTTTACCGCTCGTTTCGCAGATTGTCACTTCTATGAGACAGTCTTCCCGCCGTTAGGGGGAGATAAGAACGTCAACGTTCCTAATGAACGACGTGAATTATCGTGGACGACTCCCACTTTGTCTCATTTAGATCCCCGCACCGCTCAGTTTGAAGCTGAAGTGCAGCGCATATTAGATCTCCAGAGCATAGCTCAGAGCATGCCAGATGCTTTCACCGATCTAGCACGAGTGATAAGATCACATATTCCAGCTGCGAATACGCCTGCAAAGATAGATGTACCAAATGTACGACGGACTACCCTCCTGGAAGCCTGGGACGCCAATTCTGGTGATCCACGTACATTAGCGGTTAGCCAATCATCTGCCCCTACACAAAAACGTGGCAGACCCCTTGGTTCAAAGGATTCACACCCCCAGAAGAGGAAAACCACGGCACAAGGTCCTGAAGAGCCTACTGTGAATCCGACTATCGCTTACTCATTTTACCCAACTCATGAGGAAATTCTAGATTATGGAAGCGTCCTTGAAGAGATGAATCCTCCTCCCGAATCGTGAGATTTCGGTCTATTATGCTAGC